AGAGCTTTATTAGGAGAATTATCCTTCGACAATACATAAGCTTAAAAACAAATTTTCATGTTTCATGTCTCTAACCCTCTTAAGGGACGAATCTTCAATATTCCTTCCTTGGTATAAGGAATAAATATAGTATGTTTCGACATTAACATACAGCGCCATCTATTTCCATGGTAAGCTACGAGGCATGTGTTATGGATACCAGATAGTTGATACACTACACATATATAACTTTAAATACATACATATTATAAATATAAACACCCATGACTGAGTAACAAACCCTCGTGCTTATCACACACATGAATAGCGGAACTTGAACCCGCGACCGCTGGCACAGCAAGTAGGGTCACTACAAACTGAGCCAAACGTGTCAAATTGAAAAAATCATTCAAAACTAATTACTGTTTTAAAGAGTTGATTTAAGTGAAAAAGACAGACATATAGAAAAAAAGCCTAAAAACTTTGATTTCAGCTTCTACGAGTACGTACTCTCAAATGTAAAATTACTCGTCGAGCAAGTTTTCAAAATTGTCAACATACAAACTCCCGGTGTAACTTTGCTATGTTTACATTATATAAATACTCGTTAGTGTCTATTATAATTGTCGGATCTTAGCCAAATAGGATTAGCTAAATGAAATTATTTCATTTGATTTTTTTCTATAGCGTAGATCTAGTGATAGACCAGTGGTAGCGCGCTCGCTTAGGAAACCAAGTGAAGCGGGTTCAAATCCTAGGTCTCGCGTCTCTTATACGGATTTTATTATCTAATATATAAATATCTCGTGTCACGGTGTTTGTGGTCGCACTCCTTCGGAACGTCTCGACCGATTTTAATGATTTTTTTTGTATATTCGGCAGGTATGAGAATAGGTCGTATTTTTTTCACCCTCCTACCCCCCTCTCTCATTTTTTTAGTCTTGATTTTAGTATTTTTTGTATGAACAATATTTAAATATATAGCGACGAACCCGAGCAAAGCTAGGGTGAGTCTCTGTATAACATAATATTATATCTCTCTTTCAAACGGAAGAGAACTAATGCTTTAATAATACAAAAATATATTATTATATAAATACTAGCTTTGCCCGCGGCTCCGCCCGCATCAGTTGACCAAAAACCAAATTCTTAGGTTTTACATATTAGTATACTCTTACATTGCAGTTTTTGTATTTTTTCTCAGGAATTAGATATTTTCCCGCAGTAAAAAGTACCCTATATGTTGACCCGGATAACGAGCTATCACCATACCAAATTTCATCAAAATCCCTCCAGTGGTTTTTCTGTGATGCGGTAACAGACAGAGAGACAATAATTCTAAAAACAATAGATTCGGCCTCTGTATTGATAATAATGTTTATTTCAATAAGATTTTCCAAAAAATATATAAAGTACAGATTCGGCTTAGTTACAATTTTATTATACGTATAGATTATTCATATTTTCGTCTTAAAAACTGTAAATTAACAACGTACACCTATATAAAACTTCCCTTATTCTTTAAAGAAAGCAAACGATCTGTATGGCAACATCGAGAATAGTAGCATAATCAGCAAACCACGCTACTATTTTTGACTTTAACATTTTTTGCGGGTTTCGTCACACACATAATGTTGGTAGTACGTTTTACTGCCATAAAACGTAACGACTGCTAGCGGCCAAATGATAGAGCCTTAACATATTTTATTACTGGACAGAGTTACGTTGAGTGAACTTAATTTTAGCTTTGGACAAATAATTTTACTTTTAACTATAAAAGTTACACCATCAATCTTAAGGGAAGTTATATATTTTTTTATTTATTACTACCTCACTTAGGAACGTTTTAATTTTTTTGAGTGGAATCCTAATTGTTTTTCTAGAATAAAAGTAGTTTAAAGTATTCCTTATAACACCAGCTATCTGCCTGTGAAAGATCTGTCAAAATTAGTCCAGCCGTTTCGGAGATTAGCCGGAACAAAGAGACAGACAGACAAAAATTTAAAAGTTTCGTTTTTCTCATAAGTATATTTTACCTACCGAATATATTTTATATGAAATGAACTTTAGTAATAAACTGTTATTCCAGACAAGACAGACAAACGGACACTTCAATTTTATGTATCTGTATAGATGGTTTGTTAGTGGTTAGTGGTTACTACATATCATATAGAAATTCATTAAAATGAAATCAATATACAATCGAGCTACGCATTCCATTTTAAAGCAAATTTTCGTGTCCGGTTTCAGAATTATTAAAATTAATTATTTAAATATATTATTTGTGGGTAGATACCGTTTGTGACCACTAAATAATATCTTTTGACATGTCTAAAACCGTATCTTCTGTGTTATAATCGCTGTAAACCATTCGAAACGTCGGAAACCAAAAATCAAAATAAATCCGCGGAAAAATCCGAAAAAATAGCTTTAAACTATCGACTCACCCTCGTTTCGCTCGGGTACGTTTTAACGTTTAGTATAGATTTCTCAGAGACGAGATATTTTCCCGCAATAAAAAGCATTCCATATATTGACCCGGATAACCAGCTATCATCATACCGAATTCCAACAAATATTTAATATAGAGATTCGACTCAGAATTCTATTATAATATGTATACATGTAAAATATTCAAGTGAAACTAAAAAAGTATTACAATGGTCCTACGTCATCTTGTTTCTATCTTTTTAGTTCGAATTTCACTCAATTAAATTATTTATTTTTTAGTGTATTAATACATTTTTAGTGAGTCAGTTAAATCGTTTCTTCGTTTATCTGTCCCTTTTTTCAATATTTACGGTTTATAAAAACTTAAACATCTCGTTCCCAATCGTAAAATGTAACAGCCTCGACCGTTCGATATCGTTTAGATACATTAAATATTTTATTTCTATTTCTTACTGTCATTTTACTACAAGTATGGTTTTTTTTCTTTAATTTTATAAAAATCATCTCATGAAAGCTCATCATCGAACTATTATTATAAATGAGAAAATTTGTATGTGTGTATGTTTGATACTCCTTCACGCTGAAACGATCTTGATTTTAGGGTTTTTCAGTGTTCCGTACCCGAAGGGTGCCAACGGAACCCTATTACTTAGTCTCTGTCCATCCGTCCGTCTGTCAGAGGGCTGTATCTCAATATGAATCGGAATATGTAATGTAAGAGTGGAAATTTTCACAAAGTATGTGTTTCTATTGCCGCTTTAACAAGAAATAATAATAATAATAACTAAAAATACAAAACATTTTTTAACGTTCATGATCTATCATCGAAGTTAATATACTACATACATAGAGTAAAAGTCATATTAATAAAATGTGTATGTACGATGATACGGAACCCTTCATGTGCGAATTCGACTCGCACTTGACCGATTTTTTTCTACTCTTATAGTTTAGCGAAAGCACTTATAATCAAAATATCCCAAAAAACTAAACGAAATAAATCAAGTGTTGTACAAAAATCGGCTACCAAATTAAAGTTGGAACGATTTTCAATCTATTTGTTCAAAATTCGTCATTTTTAACGGAACGTAAACTGCGACTTTTAAAGTCAAAAGATCGCGACCTCATTTTTGAACGATCATTTTTTGTTTTAACTATTTGCTTAATCACTTCCGACGAGATCGAAAAAATTTTTTTACATTTGTCTGTAGAGACTTACTAGTAGTATATTTTTGCCGCTTTATACTATACTAATGACGACTCTCACTTCAGTCGTGTACGTCCTTTCGTAACTTTTGTATTTATATATACTTTAATTATTAACAATATATGATACTCCAGTTTATAATCTATTGGTGTACTAAATTTCATCCAAATTCGTACAGCCATTACAGCGTGAATGACTAACAAACACACATACAATTTTTCTCATTTATTAATTACTAGCAGAACCCGCGGCTTCGCTCGCGCTAAAACTACAAAAAATCTTTAAAAAGGTAGTTTCATACAAACTTTCATCCCCTATTTAATTCCCTTACAGGATGAATTTCGAAAAATGCTATAACGCGTATTTATTTAATTTTATTGAAGAGCATTAGTATCAAGATCATACAAAAAATCACGCCAATCCGTCGCTCCGTTCCGACGTCAAAGAAGAACAAACAAACACATTTTCATATTTATAATATTGAGTAAATACTACCACTAGCTTGTCTGAGAGAATCTAGCTTTCGAAAGACATCTTAAATCCGCTCAGCACTTGGATAGTATGGTGGTGGGCTATGGCCTAATCCCTCTCGTAATGAAGGGAGGCCCATGCCCAGCTGTGGGACGTTAAAATAGACACACAAATGCTGCAGCTAAACTCAGGTAAAATTTAGTTCTTTTCGAATCTTTTGATTAACATCTCCAAAAGAACTGATGCTGTATTTTTACGCCTACTCAAGCGGTTTTTTTATTCACTCCTTTGACAAATATTTTGCTTAGAAGAAATCACCTTGAGCGATAAGGCCGCCGATTGTATACTTATATACTATTCTTTATTGCACTTATATGTAAAATACAGAGAGTAAGAAACAATAAAATTAGTTAGCAAAGGTGGACTTATCTCTAGAACAGATCTCTTGAAGTTAACCTAAGTTAGAGAGATCGTATTAAAAAGCAGGCTAAAGTTCAGTATTCAAATATAAATACTTAAATAAATATATGTTATATATACATATAATAAAACATTATACATATTTAGTCCCCTTCTTTATATTTATCTGGTGAATATTAAAGTATAATTTATCGTTTTGATAATTTATATATTCCACAGCATTTCTAAGTGCCACTCTGTTCTGTTCTTAGTAACATAATTCAGTAATTTTAGGGATTCAATCTCTACATACGAACAAACATTTTTTGTTTATATATAAAGTTTGCCACTTATAAAGCCATTGGAATTCTTTTTGGACTTAAATATAAAATTCAAGAAAAATTGAAGACTCAAATGTCTTTTAAAGTCAGTCATGATGTGATTTAAATAATAAGAATGCACTCATTAAGCGCTCAAATCAATTAAAATTCAGTCGACTTTGTTCCAGTGTCAACAGTGGACGTCGAGGCGGTGGTTGGGAGGACTGCTGTGCTACCTTGCGATATAGAACCTGATTCCCATGAAGACAGGGTCTACATGGTGCTGTGGTTTAGACATGCGGGAGGAAAACCTTTGTACAGGTAAGAAGTTATGTGTAAAATAACATGAATGGGTCAGATATGTAAGAAGTTTTATGTAGATTTTAATTCCTTTAATGGGCCACATGTGGGAAGTACTGGTAGTATTACTGCTGGGCACAGATCCTTGATCTTTAAATCTGTCTTTTAAATCAAGTCAAAATATACTTTATTCAAATAGACTTTTACAAGCACTTTTGAATCGTCACGTTTAAGATTAATTTTTAAATTAAATGTCAGTATGTAAGTCCGTGAGGAATCTACCACCGGCTCGGAAGGCAGTTCTGCTGAGAAGAGCCGGCGGGAAACTCAACAGTTGCTCTTTTAAAATAATATTTGCTTACAATATTGCAATATAATAATTATCTACTTATCCTACTTGAGACTAAACAGAGATCTAAAGGCACAGATCTGAAACATTTATTACTATGTTATAATCCTAATCCATATTTTATAATATTATAAATGTGAAAGTGTGTTTGTTTGTTTGTCGAGAGTGACGGATTTGCGTGATTTTTTTGTGTGGAAATAGTTGAAGGGCTGGAAAGTGATATACTCGTAGATATAATTTAAATTTTCAATTTCAATCCCACGTATACGTATGTACGTATGTATGTATGTATGTATGTATTTATGTATGTATGTATGTATATATATATATATATATATAATATAGTCTATCTATTTCATACTAACAGTTTAATCGTATCTATTTACTAACTAAGACAAAGATGTATTTTACAGCATTAATCAAATTCCTGAACAGTCTAGACTTCTTCATTTTTAATTCGCTTTAGACCTACATATAAAGACCTAATTTATATAATTTATAGGTCTGAATCGAACCTATCAAAGGAACAATGATAAAACGAAATGAAATATGAAACGATTTGCCCAGCGGTTCAGAATACAAATGATTATCACGCGAGGGTTTCGCCGGTGGCCGATCTGAGATAACCTATATATTATAATGTATCAGCAATTGTTTTTGTACTGTTTGTTTGTACGTTTTTCAGTCAATTACTACTTATAAAGAATTTTAAGGAGCACGTAGAATGAGCTTTCTTTAAAATATCAATTTTCTTTTCAAACTCTAAAATAATAATTTTAAGGCTGTGTGTTATATATACTATAAAGAAGCAGAGTTTCTTTGAACCCGCTATACTCATCAACTACTAATCCGATTTGAAAAATTCTTTTTGCATTAGATAGCCTGTTTGTTGAGGAAGACTATAGGCTATATAATATCGTTTCGAAAAAATGTACGGTTCCCGTGGGATAGATTTGTTTTTTTTCTAAGGACGAACCCGAAGTGAAGCTAACGTGATTCGCTAGTCTCTTCATATAATAGCTCAATAGAATTCAATTATTCTTTTAATAAGCGTATTACGCGAATGAAACCACAGATGAAGGTTAAGTTTATTATATTTTAAATACGCATAGTTATATAAACAAACAGACTGACAAAGAGACAAGAATTCAGTTTTTTCTTTGATTTGGCTCTTTTAGGATATCGCAGATTTTAGATATTATTCCATAGAACAGAAAGGGCGTTCATTTGTGTTTCAGAATTGAAAAAAGTTTTAGAAATTTTGTATATACATACATTAAACGCATTACGATTTTTGTTAGGAAAATTTTCTGTATTTGTTTTTATTCTTGTTTTAATCCTAATATATAAATAATTGAAATTAAAACTTATGTGTGCTATTTAGTTCTTTTAAAATTTTTATTTTTTTATTGAAGCCGTCATCAAATATAAAAAAGGATGTGTGTATAAAAAAGCTCTTTTGCAAGCATATTTGATGTCCATATCATGCGGATGCATAAAAAATAGTCCATCATCTTCGGGAATCCGCCTTATTGGACTTACAATGACGTCACTTTGCTTATTGTGCTTCGCTCATACCATTACTATACGCTCCCTTTTATTTGATATTCATATCATGGGGTGCTTAAAAAACAGACCGTCATCTTTGGTCCGCCATATTTGATTTACAATGACGTCAATTCGCTTATTGTATTTCACGCATCAAGCTCATCAAGTCACTATGAAAATGACAAATCGTCATTTTATAACGTCCGCCATGTTGGATTAAAAATTGCGGCACGTAGGTAATCGTGCGGTTATGAGAACCAAACGTGTGTGTCAAATTTCAGCTCAATCAGACACAGTAAGTGGACATAGAATAGACATCACACAAATTAAAGGGAGATTCAACGACTAACTTAACACTGTTGCCAATAACAACTAACTTCATACTGTAGTCTAAGTCTGTCGTATCGTAAAACATTGACTCTGATCATTAATTTTTAAATTTTTCATAACGCGCCAAAAGAAGTATAACTACAAAAATGACAATATTTTATTAAAACTCCAACACTTATCATATAAATCCATACTTACATACCAATATTGTAAATATATGTGTTTGTCCTTCATTCACGTGGAATGATTGTTTTTAACGGATCGATTCGATTTTTTGTGTAAAAATAATTAGAGAGCAGGAGAGTAACATAATTTTTTTTTTGTGAAAAAATAATGATTTTTTTAGAAAATACTATTATTCAAGTTGAAATTGGGATTTGGGTCTCAATATTTAGAGCGCGAAAAACACCTAGGGATGCTGTAACTCATAGTAGGTAAGATGATTTAATCAAAAAGACTATTAAAATAACAAAATCCTCAGCTCAAAGCCCGCAAAAGATGCTAGTCTAGACGTGCAAAGATCTGGCAACAGTGTCAAATTTTGAAGTATATTTCATCTTCAAAGAAAACCGACGAAGCTATAAATATTTAATTAAATAATAACAAAATGATTCTCATAATTTAGCTCAACAGCTCTAGAAATAACAGAACCTCCATTAGCCGGTAAATCCCCGACAAGCGACGTCTGGTTTCGTAATCCTCGTAATCAGATATAATCACATTACTGACTTATCTACTGACATGGTGCTTAGCTAGCTATACATTTATAATGAACTAGTGACGTACCCGTAATCGCTCGGGTGCGTCCCTAGCTAAGTTTTGCATAGATAAAAATAAATAAATATAAATATGTTTGGACATTAACACACAGCACTATCTAGTTCCATTGTAAGCTACGAGGCTTGTGTTATGGATACCAGATAGTTGATACACATATGTATATAATTTTAAATACATATATATTATAAATATAAACATCCATGACTGGAGTATAAGCATTCGTGATAATCACACAAATGAGTGCCCCTAGCGGGACTCGAACCCGCGACCGCAGGCACAGCAAGTAGACACACAACAAACTAAGCCAAACGGGTCGTCAAAAATATTGTAAGTGTATAATATGATAGGGTATGTAAGATATAATAGTATTTTGTAGTACATTGTTTTGATGTAATAGGAACAGGTTTTTTTTAAACTGAATTATGTTCAGCCATTTTGTGCTAAATAGTTACAAATGGTATACGCCATCTTTTCTAGTCTATCGATTTTTCTATTAGTGAAAATTTAATTACAATCCGTTGCGTGGTTTTAAATAGAACAGTGGAGAGTTACATCGAGGAAGACAGCGACTTTGTTCTTACAGCGTACTACTTTGTATAGATATGTATAGTGAGAGTAGATGAGCGTCTCGCGCTCGAAATAAATTATGCATTTTCCCATGAAAATAAGATATTTTACCGATTTATTAGTGGTACCCTTGATTTGCTTCAACTTAAACTTGACGATTTGATTGTAAAATATAACTAATTTCTACTTCCTTATTCTGTTATATAATAAACAAAGTCAAAACAGTTCAATACTTTTTCTCCTCTGTTTGTCAATCGATTTTCTTCTTTATTTTTTTTGCAGGTATTATGACAAGCTTTAGTATTTTCAATGAAAAAAATATCATGGTCCAATTTTGGCCTCTGTTCGAACACTAGTCTGTATAAATATTATAAATGTGAAAGTTTGTAAGTATGTATGGATGTTTGTTACTCTTTCACGCCAGAACGGCTGAACGGATCTGGACGAAATTTGTCACAGAGATAGATTATAGTCTGGAATAAGATACAGTCTACTTTTTATCCCGGAAAAATATACGATTCCCGAGAGATAGATTTATGTTTGTTTTTTAGATGCGAATCCAAGCGAAGCGAGGGTGAGCCGCTAGTATTATATAAATGAGTATTTTTTCAGTTCCCATAAACGTTTGACCACTTTCGAATATTAGATATCTATTACCTACTAGATATGATCTGCAAGTATGCTTGGTTAGTTAGCGGGCCAGAGATGAATGGAAATGAATAGCATCTCATGGGGATCGACCCCATGACACAATCCATGTCATTAACTATCATAGACATCAGTTCAGAGTTCAGATATACAAACAGAATTATTTCCTCATTTATAATCTATACATATAATAAAATTGTAACTAAGCCGAATCTATACATTAAATATTTTTTGGAAAATGTTATTGAAATAAATATTATTATCGATACAGAGGCCAAATCTATAGTTTTTAGAATTTCTGTGTGTCGAGTTACCGCATCACAGAAGAACCACTCGAGGGATTTTGATCAAATTTTGTATGGTTATAGCTGGTAATCCGGGTTAACATATACGATGCTTTTTACCGCGGGAAAATGTCTCATTTTTGAGAAAAAATACAAAAACTGCAATCTAAGAGTATACGAATATGTAAAACCTAAGAATTTGGTTTTTGGTCATCTGAACGCGGGCGGAGCCGCGGGCAAGGCTAGTATTACTATAAAATACTACTACTACATTCAAAAGTCGGTTAAAAATAATTATTCCCATACAAAAAGATCGATTACATGCAATTAGGCCGTTTAATGTGAGTTGGTACGATAATATATTGTCGTTGTGTGCACTTGCCGCCTTGTGATACGCGTAGTGTCAGAACATAATTACCCATTTGTTTTGTATTGCCAATAATGAGCTGCACGGAGCCGATTTACGACCAATATTGAAGTAATAATACGTATTCTATGTAGTATTTTAATTATGT